GACAAAGTCCAAGAGGCTCAGGATGGAGGGAATTCTGCAGGGATCCACAGCACAAACAGAGAGGTTATGGGAGGTCAGGCACAGCTGGGTGTGAGAATGAGCCAGGGCTGAGCAAAGCTTCAGTGGAGGACTAAGGCACTGCCAGAATAGAAGAGCAAGGGAAAAAGGGGTTGCCTTCACTCTTCTGCCCACTGCCTGCAGCAGTGCAGCAGGTGAGACCTCAAGAGGGAGAAGTGTAATGGTCCTGTGTGGAACATATACCACTACCCATCCATACATGGATGATCGAGGCTCTATGGGCAAGTGCCTGCACCTTCTCAAGGGGTGCTCAGGAAAAGGAACGCCATCCACCACAGATGGTGCCTCCCTTCCTGCTTTTCCGGAGCTGCATTAGCAGAGGAGCGTGCCAGCAAGCACCACCCACCGCAGAGGTGGGGTTTCCAGCAGCTCTGTGATCAGAACACCAACAATGGGCCACAGGGCATTCATCCGGGTGCACTAACCTTTAACTTTTGTGTGCATGACTCATGACTATTCCTGCTCATGGCCTCAATCCTGGCCCTACTTAGTAACAAAATGACTTAATTACTACATTAACTACTTAATCTAATACTTGACTAATTTCACTAAATGATTCGGCTCCCACAAGCTGCAAAGGCCACCTCTCCACAGACAGAAATTTCACTCTCCAAGTGTTTATGCCCCTTTTATTTCCCACACAGGCAATGATGGATGGAAGAGCCAAACTAAATGAGTAACTAACTATGTTCTTGGCTTTAGTGCCAGTCAATACGGCACACAATGAAGCCATGAAGCAGAACAGATGATGTATTTCCTGGGCTTATGGACCTTACCGTGGAGTTTCTTGCACGATTCAGGATCTGCATCACGTGTGCGTTGTGATGCTGAACAAAGGCCTGCTGTCTGCTGACATGAACGAGACAAAAAACTCACTGACCTGGAAGTTAAAGTACAAAATCTACTTTCAGCCTGAGTGCCCGTTGCCCATACACATTAAATGAAGAAGCCTTGTTTGAGTGAAGTATGAGCTTATTCTGCTCTTCTCAAGCAGAGAGCACATGCCAGTGCCATGACTCCCACGCCGACAAACCCCAGGAGCAGCAAAATCATGTGAAGGAGAACGCAAGGCTGAACTGCTTTTTACATCAGGATGTTTCAGTCACAAGGTTACTCTCAGTTATCTAGCATGGAGAAATTTATCAATGCAAGCCAACAACGTTGGCAGGGGGACAGTTACACAACAAGAGACTGGCAGGGGAATAGAGTACTGAAAGCTTAGAGATGGAGCAACCTGCAAGCAAAGCTTCTAAGCACTACAGCAATATAAACACACCATGAGCTGCAAAGGCTCAGCAAAGGGCTCCTGAGAGGCGGCAAGCCCAAAGTCAAAAGCTATGGCAAGAAGGTAACTCCCAGGTAAGTGGCAGAGCAATATAGAAAAGGATAAAAGATTAACAGCTTAACAGCCTCCAGTCCCTGTAAAGGCTTAAATCAATGACTGGATGCTTGTTTCACAGAACACAAATACCACATATCACCAGGTGAGCCAACATCAACCCAACTGGCGTGAGTGGGCTGACTCCACTGAGGACAACAGAGCTGTAGCAGCTTACTCTGGATTTACAGCTGGGACATCAAATCACCACACAAACCAAAGTAATTAATCATAAACCAAATGACAGGCCAGGAATTTTATAATAATTCAAGCCTTTTTCAACAACCCAAGGAATTGTGTTCACATTCTTGACTGTCTTGGATGAGTATTTCAAATAAACAGTGAGGATTTTGATGGCAGAAGCCACTCTTCCACCAGCATTGCTGGGTACTGCAGCTCTTGCAGCAGCTCAGGCTGCCAGGTAAAGACTCCACTGCACAGGCACTGTGCTGTCACACTGATGAGCATGCCCCACTGTGCACATGCTATAGAGTATATACAAAACACAGGAGTGAGCTAACCATCAAGAAAGGAGCAGCAGCAGGTGGGGAACTAAAATTATAGGCAGCAGCTAGCATAAAGTGGAAATCAAAATCTTCCATGTAAGAACTGCTGAAGATATACCACTAGAAGCAGAGTTCTGCCTCTCATATACTCCTATCTAACTGTGCAGTTAGTGTTGATAGAAACTCGGGCAGTGGCACCTTTGTGACACTGAGCAGTGCTCTGCTCCTGATCAACAAGGCTCCTCAGAGTCCTGTGACCCTGTTTGCTGTTGCTTGCCCATTGCCCATGGTCCAGCAGAAAGCCATCCACACTGGAGAAGGGCCTCCAGTAACACTTTAAAGTACAGACACTAAGCAGAGATGCTCAGTCTGCCTCCTGTATGAAAGTCCTCAGCTCCACACTTCCACTTATCATTTCAGAGAGGCAGGAACGGTAACCATCTCTGTCCTCCAGTATACCAGGGATTGTCCAAACCCATGGATTAATGCAGCTGGGCTTCGAGCCTCCCATTAACAGCATGAGATACAACCGCAGTCACAAGCTGTGAGGTCCCTGCACTGAAGCTGTTTGACTGGCACAGGGCTAGAGGTTAAAGCCCCCCTTTGCAGCTGTGTCAACACTGAAGCCCTCTGTTGGCCCGAGCTCTTTCACTGGGGGCTGCACCCTGCCGTGCTCCCCATACAGCGGGAAGCGGTGGCAGGACTGTTCTCCAGCGCAGACGCACCTAGGCTGGGACACAGCACCATCTGCAGGGCTCTGCCAAGGACCAAGCTCCCACCAGCTCCACCGGGAAGGCCAGCGTTATCCTAGGAGATACTTCACACCTAGTAACTCTCCAAAACAGAGACCTGAGCACACACACACAGCCACCCTCTTCAGGGTCCTAGCGCAAAACAAAGCGCTCCTCTGGCAGCATCACTTCAGGAAACAAATCAGTGTTTTGATACAGCTCCAAAGACCCAGGAAATTCCCGGAAATTTAAATGCATGTCAGATCCTAGATTAGGTAAAGTGATGACTGAAGCACCAGCCTTGTGTGGCTCCAGGAAGCAGCTACAGCCTATGCCTCTGCAGAGAGCTCATGTGCACAGCACAGCGCTGGCGTCAGCCGAGCCTCCCGCGCACAGGCACAAGGACAGCACAGGCACGGCCCAGTGCTTCAGCCAGGGTCTGGCAGTGCCTCTGGTTCCTTAAAACCACCAGCCCCAAAAAGCTCTGCAGTGCTTCTGTACCAAAATTAGCCTGGGCCAATCTGCGTAAAGCACTGCAGAACACATTGTACTGCACCGGCGCATTCCCTCGGATGCGAGAATGACAAATCCAGCCTCTGGGGAGGAAGGATAATTTTTCTCCTGTCTTGTCTTTATGAGAAGGTCAGCAGCACCATGTGATTTTCCGAGACATATAAGCACTGCATAACGCAAACCCACAGAAATGCAAGCATTTTTATTACTGCTTCAGCTATAAATATAGGAATTTAACACTTGTCCTACTGGATTAGACCAATAGTCTGTCTCACAGGGAAAGCGGGCTGCTCAGAGCTTGGACAAGTGACTGATGCTTCCCAGAAAAGGCACGCTGCTTTCTGCAGCCCAGCCACCAAGAGGGACATCTAACCCCAGCCTGCTGTAGGGAATCAGCCTACCCCTTGAAGAATGCAACATGATGCTGTTTCACACTCTCACAAGCCAGTAAACCACCCAGCAGAAGCTGTGCATGTTGCTGCTTCATACATAAACATTGCAAACACCCACAGGAAATCTGTGAACTCAGTTCTTTCAATTTTTAAACCAAGTCTGACAAACTGGTCTTAAAAAAAGACCCTAAGCTACTATTTAAAAAATAAACCCCTAAAAATCCCCGAACCAAACCACCTTTCTGACTACAATCTGTACTCTCAGCTCTGACAGGCAAACCTGCCAGAAATCAGCTGCACCGGAACTTTATTTCTAAACCTAGAACCATGTGCATTTTAACTGAACTTGTGTTAGTTCTCTCCTTCCCTAGATTTCCTCCACTGTCTTTAACCAGGGCAGGTACTGCAGATCAGAGAGGCTCGTAACTTCGAGTAAAGAGTGTTTGGGATGTGGGGAACTACTGGGGCTGGGGTGCACAGAGTGGTGGGGACAATAAACACAGTGTGAGTGGTAGGATGGGTGAAAGGCCACTCTGTGAACAGGGTGGGCAAAGGATCCAGTCAAGAGACCTGAGCACTGGTACATCAGACAGAGCTTGGGTCTCTGTGGAAAAGCAGGGCCAATGTTTAAGAGTTAAAGAGCAAATGAAGGAGTGCGGAGTGCAGGGAAGGGACCACATCTACCAGTGCTCATGTAAAGTCCTTTGAATCTGCTGCAGCCTCCTAAACAGATGCAGTTTGCTGATACATCTCCTACCCACTATTTTGGCTATGTACTGCAGGTTCAGCCCGGACAGAGCACCTGATAGCCCCTCCCTGGTGCACACAGACAGCAGAGGGCACTGCCTGGACACCTCCACCCCTACCCAGTGCTCACCTCCACTGGCCCAGCAACTGCTTCCATCCAGAGTGGTGAACCAGATCATTCCATTTACTTTCCTTCCTTCCCTGGCTAGCTATGGTCAGTAAGGGAACTTGTAACACTGGAAACAGCAGTAACAATAAGCAGCAGCTTGAATTTAAAGCTGCCATTATTTATAATGTGGACTGTCCGTTTCAGGGACTTCTCTCACTGTTGTTTCAGGCAGCCCTGCTCTTGAGTCATCCTTCCCAAAGAAACAGATCTCAGCTATTACCACTGGTGTCAAGAGACTGGGTCCTACTCCAAACTTGGCTTGTTGTCAAATTCTGTACAAGCCATTTCACCTCCTGTTTTTCAACTTCTCCATATGCACAACTGGATTCTGGACTTCCTTGTAAAGTCTGGCACTTAAAGGTCTTACACGGAAATCAGGCATCTCTATTACTATCAGAAGCAATGTGCGGGTGTCAGATGTTTATTGAGGTCTGCCAGCACGTTTGCAAATGTAACTGCACTGCAGTTCTTGTAACGACACTGATCTGAAGCACTATCTTTATTACAGTGTTTAGACGGTTTCTGGCAGCATCTATCAAGTGTCAGGTGCTGTGGTTTCACGTGGTGTAACCCGTGCACTGATCCTTCAATGGCATGTCACTCAGCAGGACTGAGAAACAAAAGCTGCTTTGCTGTTGCAGATCTGCTCCGGAGCATAAGGATCCTGGAATAGAATCGAGTTTGAAATGTAGAGGTTACTCGGGTCCTGGTATAACTGCAAATCCACAGACCAATACAAGGCAGAGTTTGGACCTATCATCCAATCTGGTCACCTTCTACATAAACTTATTTCCAGGCAAAAAAAAAAACACAATAAAAAAGTGAAGTTCTTTTCAGGTGAAATGGGTGATCTGACATATTGAGAAGTTGTGTTTTTATCTGGAGCTCTGAACTCTTCCACTGGGTAGTGAGATTAATGAGTCACTTTAGAGAGCAAACTAAAAAGTTTCACGTAGCACCCCGAGGAAGGTGAAACACTTCTACATGCTCTGTTGAACTTCTGGCATCTCTGGATGAATTTTGTATCAGGTCTGACACTGCATGGAGGAGTCAATGCATTATCAGAGAACAGCAAGTTGAAAGGGACCTCAAGGATCATTTGCTCCAACCTTGCTTGGTAAAGCATGGCCTAGACTTGATGTCCCAGCCCCCTCTCCAGCTGAATCTTGAAACTGTCCAGTGTTGCATGAAGTGGAGTTTTGGTTTGCCACGCAGAGTTTCCAACAATCTCTTCAGCAAAAAGCATGCTGCAGGAAGTTATTTCTGGTACAGTTGTCACCTGCTTTGTTTTTGGATGTGCAGAAACCTAGGCCTGTGGAAAAAAGAATATCAGAGCTGTCTTAGTAGGGAGAACATGACTCTACCTCCATCCTGTAAAAGCAGCAGTGATAATAGCACCAGAGCTAGTCACCCCATCAGAAATGCTCACCTGCATCAGAACGCCTGCCAGGTTACCTCAGGATATGAGAAAGTTGAGATACTTGAAGGGACACCCTGTTTTGTTCAAGATTGGCTTCAGCTGTGGACTTTCCCCTGGCTGAGTTCATTCAATACACCAGGGTGTGGGGACATAATGTACAAAGGAGATAGTTCAATACCCAAAGCAAAAATCTGAAGGTAAACCAGACTTACTTGCCACAGAAGTCCTTGTGAACGGCACAGAGGACAAGTAGTAAATTGGGGTGTGCCTGTAGCCAGTCCTTCACCATATCTGGGTGTCTGGGATCAACTTCCAGAAATACACTCCTGAAAGGACAAATGTGGGAGTAGAAAATGGGGAGATGCACACACTTAGGTTGCTAAACTGATAAAAATTAAAGTCTGTCTTTCTGGAAGACTCCTACCAGTGCAAGAAAGGAGAGGGCAGCAAACACACTGCAGGCCACTAAGCCTAAATCAGATCATAGCTGTCCATGTAAGATGCAGACTGGGGGGAATTCTCATGGTGCTCCTGTGTTAAACCCTTGTATGGAGATGTAAGGACCCCTTCTGAACCCCATGCAGAGATACCACCAGCTCTGTCTTTCTGAAGCCCCCAAAGATTTAAGGCCAAAACGAGGTTTTAAGATACAAATGCATCAACACTGAGCACTAGACTGGCAGCATGAAGTTTCATCATGTTATAAGCAGGGTGACATCATGTCCCAGTAGCAAGTCATGAAGTGTAAGTTAGTACACGCATTTTCCCACAGTAAATATCTCCATAAATCACCTACAAAAACACCACAGGCAGTCAGCCCTACACAAAGAACTGTACAAAGGAGAGTGCAGCAGGGATAAGGGAACTAATCAGACAAGCTCAGTTAGTGCACCAGGACTAGCCCTGGACACTGCAGGGCTATTTCCATCTCTGCTCCAGCTGGACTTTATGACACTGGCCCATTTCTGAATCTCCACTCCCATGATGAGGCAGAACCACCCTACCTTACAGGCACGTGGAGATGATGGAACTGGTTACAGCCCGTGACAGTGCAGCAAGATATAAGCTTAACAGGCAAAGAAGAGAGGCCAGGCCCCAACCATACTCTCTCCTAAGAATTCCTAAGAAGTCCCACACCGAATACTCCCTATAAATTCACCAAACTAACTACAAGCTGGGTGTGGATCTCATTCCTGACCTTACACTCTTCAACAGGGGCTCCATCTCATAAAACAAGTGAAAAGGGAAGGGGAAAAAAAAACACCCCATGAGACCAATCTCAGTTGCTGGGAAGTTCTGAGGAGCATCTTCTGTTCTCATGGGCATGCACAGCAGGGATTAATTCTTTTGCATGCATTATGCCTCTCAATATTTCTGTTCCTCTTCTCAAAACAGCAGATTTTCAATGACCTCTCTTATGCTGGTAAAATGTCAGGAATCTTTCAGCAGAATACGTGAATGCCCTGGCACAACAGACTTTTCAGTATCAGCATGTTGATCTTTAGGCACAAAATGGATCCCACATGAAAGAGAACAGGAACAATTAGTCTTGAGTATTAGCCCTGGAGAAACTTAACATTTAAGAAACTATCTCTGGCTGATCTTTCTCCAGCATTGTATCCTGGCACAATAAACAAGTTTCCCCTAATTAAAGGGTGGGAGGGAAGTAGAGATCTACATCCATTCTCAGAGAGTTCTATACTACTTCTACTTCAATCAGTTATTCAGCTTAGAAAGCTTGCATTGTTTTGCACTCCCTCTTTCTCTGCTGCTCTCTTTCATGTTCTTTTTGTTGCTGCTTTGACCTTTAAGGACTCCCACTTCACTAATGACAATGAAACACCACCACTGGTCAAGGAAGGCTCCCTTTATTAACCAAATCCAAGCTAATTTTGCTTATATATATGACATTCTAAAAATTGGTATTCTTAAATGGGGCAGGGAGGGACATTTCTGCAACTCTTTTCCCTGTTCCTTCCTGTATGAAAAGAACACAGAAGTTGTAGAAGTGAATGGACAAAAGACATGAAATTCAAACAGAGAACAGTGCTTACCCAGAATCCTTCAGAACAGAAGGAGCCAAAGCCAAAATTGTTTTGATGACTCTCATTCCATCATCTCCCCCATCCAGTGCATCAAGGTCCTCATAGCTGGGTGTGGGAATAAGAAGACATTAAGAGCAATTCATGTGGCATGAGGCACACCCCTAAGGATGTGCTGCCCCAAACACAGCTGCACCAAACACACCTGAACTCCACTACTCCTACAGCAGGTGACAGCACTCACAGCTTTGATGTAAAATACAGAGATTAAGAAGGCAGCTGCCACAAGGCTGAGAAACTCCATGTTGAGCACAAGCAGAAAACACCCCCTGAACTCATCCTGAAAATTACAAGCCACCTGCAGGCAGGGTCACACAGTTCCAGCCTGTGGATCTGTTCCCTCTGGGCAAGCTGGACAGGGAAAGAGCGGGTTGTACAGGACGGGATCGCTTGCTTTATTTCAACCATGCCAACAACCAGGCTGGGCTGCCCTCTAACCCAGCAGAGCAAATTAGGATGCAGAAAGCTCAGCTTTCAGAATCCGCTCCGGTGCACATCTTGTAGAGAGGCGGGTGCAGGCCTTTGTCCTGACATGCATGATGATCACTTCTGAGGAAGAACCAGCACACACAAAGCTGTTCCACACCCCAAAAGAGCTTATTCATGTTTGTGTGGGATTGTTTGCTTAAGGCAATCATTGGGATGAGAATGGGTCGCAGCATTTCCAGCCAAGCTCTTTTCCATCACAAAATGCTGCTCAGACTGCTGGTACTTTCTTTCATAAACTCACACCAATCATTAGAAAAAGCAGGGAAAATGTCCTGAACCTGTTTGGGATCAGGAGCCTGCTAATTTCCAAGTGTGTGCTTTTTCCATTTTTCTATGTATTTAAAATGCTTTGGTACTGTTACAGACCTGTAAGCAATATCAAAGTAACACTGCATTATTATGTACTATAGAAACACACCTACACTGTATACGTGTATACTACATTTGCATGTTTCATGTGCAATTGTGTGTAGTGTAAGAAAGCAGGCAGAAAACCTTGCTTCACGGAACAGGAGAAGAAGAACCTCTTTGTCTGATTACCGGAGGATTTCTGCATCCAAGGAAGCCATGTCTTCATGGAAAACATATGGGGGGTTACTGACTATGAAGTCTACAGGGCCCCAGAGTAGCAGCTGCTTGGCAGAACCTAGAGAAGAAAATAATCACAACCAGCTCTCAATCACAGCAATCTCCCCTGTAAGCTCAGTGCCAAATCCTGCCAGGTAAGTGTCTCCAGACACATGCCCATGTGCGTTTGGCTCCTCTTTTCTCTAACAAAATGTTATCCTAGTTCTTTTGGGGACAGCCTGGCCTGCTCATCGTCCCACCTGGAATGCAAGAGTGATACAAAGCTAAGCCCAGGCAAAGTTACCCCGTTTTCATATCACAGCCCCAGAACACGTTACAACTCACAGGACCTTGATGCTGTGAAGCTTTGTGCCCATCTGGTTATTAAGCAACAACCAGGACTTGAGAGAGCCCACAAAGAGCTAAGAGGCAGCTTAGACTAGTTGTCAAGATGCTTTCCTCTCACCAGAGCTGCATAAGGAGCTAACAAACAAAAGAGCCAGGCCCTCTCAGCAGTATCAACCACCCAATGGCTTGCTCTTCCTTGAGCAGACAACGCTCAGCTCACTGTGCCCATGCTACTCTCTGGACTGACACATACCAGCCCCATGTGAGTGGGGACCTGTCCTCAGGCAAGCCTCTTAGCCGGGCATTTAATCTAAGCTAAATATCTGGGTTCCCTCTAACATCAACACAGAGACAAGCACACACATGTTTATCTAAAGCATCCATGTCAGCATGGAATGAATTACACTCTGTTTATATTTGCCTCTCCCCAGTAACAGTAGAGAGTACCTGAACACAACCTTTGGACACCTAAAACCAGGAATCTTCTGAGGTAGGCAGAGACTTCTCTCAGCTGAACATGTGGCCCGGAAATCTCCGAAGGGAAAAGCTTCACTGACTCACTTCTTACTAATTATTTCTCCATTAACTCCAACACCCTCCTGACGCCTGCGTTCCAAAGGGGTCCCATGGCTGTCTCCCATGCCTCCTCCCCCATCAAAGTAAAAAGGGAGAAAGACAAAGGGGATTATAACAGTGAAAAGAGTTACCGTATGAAACATCTTGGTGGAGGACATGGATCCTCTCCTGGAGTCGCAGCCTGTAAAATTCCAGATGCAAGAACAAAAGGAGAAATGATTAGGAGGAATGTTTGTGTGGGTTCATGAACAGCACATTCTAGGAACAGTTCATTAAATGTCATCTCTTATCTGATCCATGTATATCCTACCCCACCGACTGCAGCTGGATTCCTCTCAAACCACAGGGGAAGTTTAGGATGTGCTCTTTGCCCAAGGAACAAAATTAAAAGCTATGTGCTATGTTAGTGACAGTCCAGAATAACCAGAGTTAAGAACCACTTGAGGGAGCAGAGCCACTAAGAAGGACAAGGTCAACCTATAGTTATAGATCTGTCCTGACTTCAGCCACAAGATGTTTGATACAGCAGCTCTGAACATCCAGCCACAGCACAGGCCCCAGCAGCACCATTCTCACCAAACCCAAGGTGATGGTGCAAGGAGGATGCTGAGGGATACCACACTAGCACATCAGAGGAAAAGTGCTATTTGAGTGTGCAAGTTTATATGTAGAGAAGCAATGCCAGAAACAAGCACAGCAATAATGATGAAGGGAGCCAGAGAAAGAAAGGTTCAGACTATACTCGTCCTTAACCTCCTAAGTGACGTACATTCCTACTACCTGTTACCTTGAGTTTCCCAAGTTCACAGAAAAGGATAAGAGTAGTTACCACGAAATGCTTTGAAAACCCATGGAAGACAGACAGCCTGTAAGCACTATTGCTTTATTTAGGCTGCTGCCTTTGCAAAGCACATTCACAAGTCAAAGAATAAAACACTCAAGTAAACACAGGCTTTTTTCTTAATTCTTACACTTTAGGAGTTCAACCAACTAAACATTCTCTGCTTTCCAGTGGTGATAAACAGGAACCACACGTCCTCATACTGAGGACTCTTGGTCTTTTCCAAACAACAATTTACAAAATATGGGTAAGGTGTGGGTTTGTACCTATGTGCGTTCTCCCTGGTGAGATCCACAGCAGCCTCCTCTTTATCCATGGCTATCACCTGGCTCTGGCACAGGAAGAAAACAAACCACCATCAACAAGGTTCCTGAACAGACATGTTCTGCCAAAAAAGACAGGCAGGATAGAAACTGACAACTGGCTGTTCATTCCTGGCTCATGAAGAACGCATCTCAGTGCACTGAAGGGATCTCGAGTTGCTTCTAGTAAGGTGACAGAAGGCACTCTGCAACACTGACAGCACCCTACCAAAACAAGCTCCTGACCAAACCAAAGCTGACAACAGTGGAGTCACACAGGCTCACCTAACATTCACAGCTCGTAGCATGTGAGATTCAATACCGGCTAGTCTGTGTAGACACAGATTAAAGGAAGATCTCTAATACAGACAGAATCCCTTCCAGCTTTAATCTAACCACTTGGACAGAGGTTCTGGTATTTTCCATCCGATACACAGACATCATTTGTCTAGATACTCCACTGAAGTCCTTGCACCACATTCACTGCATGTACTGACTGCACATACCTGACTGTGTGTCAAGTATTGGAGAGTCCTCTAGTGCAATTTAAGATATAGCACTACATGGTTAGAGATTGGTTTGACCTTCCACTCCACCTTGGGCTAAGTGCAAGCAAAAGTCTGATGTGGTGTTGCTTTGCTTAATGCTTTTTAAACACAGATGTTGGTAAGTATTTACATGGAGAAAGCATGCTTAAAGAAGCTACTTGTCATCTGGAGACGATGGTGTGACTGGCCATGATTCCTGGAGGGATTAATTTCACAGTCTGAGACTAATACCCACACACATGAAGCTGACCCTTACGGTGAGGACACAGCTGACTCCATAAGTGAAATGTTGCCATTGTTTTCTCAGTACCCTACTGCCAAATTCTGCCTCAAGCATTAAGGAGATCACACAGAGTGTAAGCTCCACTTAGCTGTCTGTGTGGCTACCACTAACTAATCAGTGAAGGCTCCTTATTTCTCTGGGCAGAGCTGAGATAGGACTGCTATCAGTAACAGGGACAGACTGACACAGCTCTTTAACTTAACAGGCAAGGAAAAAAGTGTGAAGTACAGCTCAGGAAATCAGAGTTAATTACACTTTGAAGTCATGAAGCTCAACTATTAACCTTATCAGGTCACTGGGAGGAGGAACAAAGGCATCAGCCTCTAATTTTTACACACCAAGTCTTTCACTTCTGCAGGACTAGGGGCTGGCCACAGCAATTCTGTTCATGAGAACAAACCAGCTGGTCTGCAATTCTGAGAAAAGGGGAATATTCTTCCCTTAACCACATGTGATGAGACCTTGGATTCACTTCTCTTTCTGCTTACCAACAGTATCTCAGTAAGCATGCTATATGCCACTATAATCAGGGCAAGAAAGCCTTTGGTCACTCAAATCTCAGTCCCTTTTCTGTTCTTTTCACTCTCTTCAAAAGGTGTGGGTTGTTATCAGGGAACAAAAAGGGGTTTGGTAGCATACTATGTGCTTGTCATATCAATACCAAGTACTGACATTTCTGTGGTAATCCCTTCCCTGTATCCATTTAGTCTTCAGTCTCCTTGAGACAAGATCTTTTGATTCACAGAAGGGTGATTTTTAGAGATGACTGCCCCATAAATTTGACTATCAGAGTGTGTGCTCATGTCTCAGCCCCTCTTGTCCACAGCCCAGAATATCAGCTTAAACCAACACTCACCAATGCTTCAGGCTGGGGTGATTAATAGTGGGCTGTGCCAGCTGGAGAATGAGCACATGTGCTGCTTTCATTCTGACTGTGTCTCTGCTACTCCTGCAGACAGCTCCTAAATAGCCTTCTTCTATGTAGCATGAACATATAAAGCCTGACTGCCAGAGACCTCAGCTGCCAAAATCCCATCAAAACGAAGAGGTTTGCCTGTGAAGTCCCAATGAAGACTTGGAGTGGGACTGTCCTGTAACGCAGACATCTATCATACTACAAGCACTGAAAAAAGCTTACCTGTGGCAGTTTGCGCAACAGACTCAGAGCAATTGCTCCAGAGCCACAGCCGATCTCCAGGATCACAGGATGAGGGGCAGAAACTGGGAAGCAGGGGCCTGAATTCTTCTTGTACATCAGGGATTCTTCCTCCACAACTAGAGAGACGAGATCCTAACAGAATCAAACAAACAAAACCCTAAGGGAGCTGACAGGACTCGCACCTTTGTGGTCTGAGGACTGGAGTTTGAATTTCTTCACTCTGTAACTCAGTGAAACACATTTTTTGTTGCCCATTTTTTAAACACAGATGGGAGCAATGGAACTGACATGCCAGAAGTCACTTAAGCTCCATCTCCCTTCCAGGGTGCTTTGATTAGTAACCAAATCCTCAGGATACAACTTCCCACAGATCTACTGAAATCTTCTAGCACTATTGGGAAAAACAATAACCAAACAGCTGGAGTACATTATCTTCTGCAACACCATTTTATTGACTCCAAAATCCCAGCTCTCAGAATTTATAAGCTTCAAAATGTAAGATTTCTACACTGTCTCGGTACGGTATGTAAACTGGAGGCAAAGGTACAGCTCCTAAGAGCATCCAAAACAATAACCCAACCCGCAGATGAAAAGCAAAGGCAATTAATTACTAAATGATCCAAATGAGCAGCTGTCTGCATGGATTTCAGATTGTGGACTCCTACCACACTTTGTTGGTATAAAGTCGCATGGGAAAGATTTTCATCCATGCTCCTGGATCCATAAACATCTCTGCCATTACTGCCTCCTCTCTCCCATCAATCTCCTCTTTTTAAAACCCTTCAAATGTCATATAAATTCCAACACAGCAGGAGAGGTATCACAGATACAGGGTTCTATTGTTTGAAAACGAATGACTAGCTATAAGAGAAAGCACATGTGTGCCTCCCTCTGTCTGCAACATGAACTTCCCTTACTATCCACCGGAGAAATCTAGTGGACAGAAACCTTACGAACACCATGAGCGCATCAGCAGCTTCAGTAGGTGCTCACAACTCCCCACAATCCTTATACTCTCATAGCACACCAATACAGAAACAAGGCCTCCTACACTGGCTGGGTTTTTTGCTTGAGGGGTCTGCTCTTGGCTCTCCCCTGTAAATCCAGAAATTTACAAGGAATAATTGGCTTAATTTTGCCAACAAATGAAAAACTTTACCAGGAAAATTACCAAGCTTCCACTTCTTATAAGGAATCTTGCACGTTCCTGGCATTAGCAGGAATATTTAAAGGCAACATGTCCTGGCAGGCAGGCCAGCTTCTCTTCAGTAAAGCCAGGGACTTTTTCAGGAGCCAGAACTGGGCAGGCTTGTACATCAGGGCAAGCCCTCCCTTAGATATATATCACCCTGACTAAGGTGCAGTGTAACAGATGCCTTGTACAAAGCTGCAGTTTTTGTGAAGATATTTGTTGCTATTGGTGATCCTTCATGCTAGGGCAACTTACATCTGTAGTAAGGAGGGAGGGAGGATGCAAACAGGTATGAAAATGAAGCATTAGAATAGATGATTGCATCCAAAGGAGCGTGACCAGCAGGTCGAAGGAGGTGATCCTGCCCCTCTACTCTGCTCTTGTGAGACCTCACCTGGAGCATTGTGGGCAGTTCTGGTGTCCTCAACATAAAAAGGACATGGAACTGTTGGAACAAGTCCAGAGGAGGCCACGAGGATGATCAGGGGCTGGAGCACCTCCTGTATGAAGACAGGGTGAGGAAGTTGGGGCTGTTCAGCCTGGAGAAGAGAAGGCTGCGTGGAGACCTCAGAGCAGCCTGCCAGTATCTGAAGGGGGCCTATAGGGATGCTGGGGAGGGACTCTTCATTAGGGACTGTAGTGACAGGACAAGGGGTAACGGGTTCAAACTTACACAGGGGAAGTTTAGATTGGATATAAGGAGGAAATTCTTTCCTGTGAGGGTGGTGAGGCACTGGAATGGGTTGCCCAGGGAGGTTGCGAATGCTCCATCCCTGGCAGTGTTCAAGGCTATGTCGGACGAAGCCTTGGGTGAGATGGTTTAGTGTGAGGTGTCCCTGCCCATGGCAGGGGGGTTGGAACTGGATGATCTTAAGGTCCTTTCCAACCCTGACTATTCTATCATTCTATGATGCTATGAACCTCAATGAAACATCCCTGGCAGCAGAGCACCTGAGACACGAGCTGTTTTGTGAGTATTTTCTGAGATTTTCCACAAGATATGAACTGCTTTTAAACATATCAAAGTGCTGTGCCCCTGCATCCAAACCCATACCCTGTGCTTAGAGAACAGAAGTGAAGTTTGTACTACTTCACAGCCTGGGATGGCATATTTCAACATCGCCTGGGCCTTGCAAAGCCAGGCAACTTCCATTTTAATAGAACCCCTGCCTGTTGATTCCTCCTGCTGAAAGAGCCTGAAAGTGTAAATGAAAAGGAAAGACTTGGTTTATTTGAAAGTGTAAACATCCTGTAATTGTTCTAGTGACATTACTTCTTCTTCAGATCAGCTTTCCTGAGCCTTTGACATTTTCTACTGGGCTGTGTTAGGCCTTGCTGCTTCTCCAGCAGGCTGGCCTGCCAACAACAGTCTTTCTGGAGCCACTGGCTCCTCAGCTTTCTTTAGGCTCCCTTTTGGGTCCTTCAGGATTTCTTCAGCAAGAAGCACCTTCAACTGTTTTCATTGTTTTCTCTTAAATCTTCTCCAGATGTTGAGCTGGCAAGAGCCAGAGATGCCCATGCCTTTGCTCACCACATACTCAGTGTCAACAGACTTCGTGCTTTCTCCAGATTGTGCTCTCTGCCTTCCACACTTTAGGTATTCTCTCCTCAGCAATGAGCTCTCTGTACTCATACCCAAAAGCCCAAGAGAAGGAACCCACAGGCTGGAGGGTGCTATTCCAAGAGACCTCTCTCAGAGGTATATCTTCACTGCAAAGTTCACTGAGTGGTAGCTAAGGCAGCCTCAGGCAGGTAAGGAGCCACACTGCAGTGCCCATCCCTGGTCACCATCTTGGTACTGGCACTGTGTTTTGCTAAAAGACTCCAAATTATGTATTCCTTGTTGCTGCTCTGGGATTCCTTTCCTAGACAACTACAGAGGAAAACATTCTTACAGGCTCCCAAAAGGACTGTGGGAAAGCATTAGAGGACTGGACTACCAGTGCTCAGACACCAACAGGGTAAAACACTAACTCTACCACTTCAGTGCAAAAACGGCTTTTGCCTTTCAGCGAGCAGCTCCAGACGAAGCAGTATGAAAACACTTCTGCCCTGCAGCAGACAGCCAGAGATTGCAGCTGGTTTGGGGAAGCAGGTGCTGATGATTCCAAGACCACAAAAGAAAAACCCCTCAAAAAAGGCTCCTGAATCACTTTTCTAAATCCCAGCCATTTGTAGTCATTTATAAACATTTCCAGGAAATCTCTACAGGAACTCGTCAGGACCATCTGTCTCCAGGGCTGATCACACAGTAAGTAGCACAAGTTGCTGATTACAAAGGTCCAAATGTAACTTCCCTGCAGCAGAACTACTGTCACCATTGATTAACTTCCTTAAGGTTTACCATGAATAATTTCAAGCTTGGAGTTTTTAATGGAACTTCTATTTCATACATTCCACAGTGAAAGTGTTTTTTAGAATGTTCCTACTGAAATATGCCTGATTTCCAGTTTTACCACACATATATTAAAAAAGGGATGCTGGTATTACTTAAGCTTTGTATCCCACTTCCTGACTCCTTTGCCTTATTGCCTGGGCTATTTCTTACTGAGGCAAAGGCTAGTTCTCTCATAATACACTTGCTTATAGAATCATAGAATAGTTAGGGTTGGAAAGGACCTCAAGATCATCTAGCTCCAACCCCCCTGCCATGGGCAGGGACACCTCACACTAATCACTATCATAAGAGCTCTAAATTAAAAGCAGTCAGTGTGACAACCTAAAGAAACCGCAGCCTTTTTTCAGGTATCAGTATCTCACTACAACCAAAATGTTCAATAATTACAAAAATAAATTCAGTTATTAAATAAACGTGGTTGGCAAGCACACCACAAGGTTTACTCTACCTGGCAAATTAGGAAAAGAAATTACTAGTACAGATTATTTGATGGTGGATTAAATTTGCAGTTATGTATTAAAAGCAAGAAGCAAAACCACACCCAAACACACTGGAGTTAAGATGTTTTGTGATACCACAGCCCTTGATTTACAGCTTTCACACAAAACCCCAATTTCCTCAACATCTGCAGAAGAATCAGGGTACCCCAGCAAGGATGATGCAGAGTAGATGCAGGCAGCTCACTGCCATTGCACTAGGTTTCCTTTTCAGAAGCCATGAACCATTAAGTTATCTAAAACTGATTCAGAGCAGTATTCTGCAGATTCTTCTCAGTATTTTTCATCTTTTAGCAAGCAATCCAGTCACAATCTCCAAGATGTCACTACTTGAAACTGAGAAACTGCAGCATTTAGCAGAACCACTTCCAAATCTCATCTTGGGAGAGGAAGTATTTCTGGTCATGCATTACAGTGCTCATATGAAGACTAAAAAACACCCTGCAGACAGACATTCCCTACCTCTGTGCAAGCATCTGACTCGAGCCACAGCTGGGGAGGAGCAATAGAAGCAGATGGAGCTCAAAAGTGATGCCAGTCCCAGACACAGAGAAACTGGGACAACAGCAGATGGCCGAAGGCTGTGGTCTTTGTGTAGGATACTCCATGTCTTCTCAGACTGAGCAGATCCAGAGCACACAAACCTGCTAACATGATGCCATCATTGCTAAAAGCCATCTTAACCATCAATTTGATCAGCAGCTCTAAATGTTGGGAGTTGAAATTATAAAATTTCCATTGAGAAATAAAAGCACACATTTTAGCAATCAAAGGTAATTAACCTTTGGAATGTGTTAGGTAAACTCTACAAAGTGACATTCTAAACTGAAATGGCAGGTTATCCAAAAGGGCTTACTGTCTCTCACACTGTTTACAGGATTCAGTACATGCTTCACTATAGAGAAAGGCCACTTTGGATAAAACAATGACTTCAAAATCACTGTGTCTTTACAGTCTCTAAAGCCAGGAAAATGAGTTAACTCACTCAGGTGCCTTGTCCCTGCAACAGGCTGAGCACTTCAGTACCTTTTAACACTTTTATCCT